TTTAATCAAAAACCCATTAGGAAATTTCATAAAAATGGAAATTTAATTTGATTTCACTGAAAAAGAGTTGGGGATTCGTTAGCAAGAATTCTTGGCTATTATTTTAGGCCCATAATCCATTAATGGTTCAATAATTTAATATCTCTAAACTTCACGTACATTTGTGTATCTATTGTTACTTACTTTATTCTAAGTCAACTTCAACCAAGTACAGTTTTTACAACTTAAAAAGTCACTTTCTACTTCATTTTATTCGCTTTAACTCCCATCGTATGGCATTTTCCCCCTTTTTAAATTTTTCCACGCTCTTTAACGCTCAATTATATAGTGCATCGATTGAAATTGTTTACCGAAACAGAAATTTAAATGCGTATGGAAATTCAGGCGGCAAGCGGTGAAGCAGGCGATTAAAAAACAGTTTATAAATCATCGATGTCAGTGGCAGTTCGTAGCCTTCTTTCCCCTTAGTTTCCGAACCGACCAGCTTCTGAATTGTTATATCCCCAGAATCTGCATATGGATGGCAGAAAATTACATACTTAACTGTGGGTTGCCGCATGCACTTTCTTAGATGGGTAGCAACCCTCCAGAAGAAGTAATTCGGTTCCGTTTCGATACGATTGCTGTTTCCTTACAGGAAAACTCATTTCAATTATAATTAAAATTTCTTATTTACATTTCTATTGAAATTGGTGGAGAGAGGGAGGGAAAATCCTAAAGGGGAAAGCGCACCTAAGGTACTAACAAAACAAACCTGAAGAATGAAAAGATTCGGAACTGTTTTTACTGCCAACGTGAAAAATTGGGAAAACATAAAAGTAGCATAACTTTAACTACCAAGGGTAGTTAAGTTGCTACCATATCATTGTCCTGCTCCCGACTTATTGTTATAGTCCCAAATCCAAAGCAGATCTCTTCGAGCTGTCTTCGCTTTCCCCCGAAATACCAAAGTTAATGTCCTTTGATCCATATGCGTGTGCTTTGTTCGGAAACTGGAATTGAAATTTGGCATTCGAGCAAATAACAATAATAATAATAAGAGTCGGGATGCTTTTCATGCTTATCTAGGGCAGCGGGTTGTCTCCTTCTTAAGTCCTGTTTTGGTTCCCCTCTATTGTCTGTCTTACAAAGTTCTGTAAGCAGTTCGGTAAGTAGAACAATCTAAGTGGAACAAAGGCGCTTGATTTATGGTTTAAAATTGGAGCAGAAGGTTGAGTTTCAAATGGATAAGTAGAGGAAGTTTTGCAGAAGGACATCCAAATGATCCACTATAATCTAAGGTCAGTTTTCGGTTCATTTAAATAATTTAATGAAAGTAAAAACTGTCAAATTGTTCAAATTAACTGATTTGGTAAAAATGAAAATTTAATAATTATATACAAATTAAATATCGATTTTACGTTAATTAATTTTCTTAGCTTAAAATATATAAGTTGTATTTCTTTGAAATTGTTATTTAGCTAAACGGAAACCAGTTTTCTAAACTTTTTATTTTATTTCCTTTTATTTTTATTTGTAGCTCCTACTTCGAAAGCTATAACAACTTTTTTGAAATAAAATAAACAACTTCGGTCGACCTCTTACATATTTTTAAGGATCACATTTGATCTCGGGATTTCCTTCAACTACACCACTTGAACCCAGCTTAAACTCTCATTTATAACCATAAAATCTAATATATGATCACTTTAATGCTGAGTCATCTCGACACCACTTGATATTCCGCACTCTGAACCCAAAGATGTCATAACAAGAATCTAATTATCCAGATGACAAATGATCCAAGAAAACTGAATTTTATTTCCAGACGTTCGTGAAGAAAACTTTTTCGAAATTTTGATGAATTAACCTTAATTTCCTGTGTCAGTGGCCGGCGGCGTTTTGAACCTAACACTTTCTTTTTTTTTTGCCTTGGGCGGGGGGTTGGAACGAGTTCCTCTCAATGGATCCTTTGTCCAAGGATTTGCACGTGTGCACAAATTAGCAAAAACTGGTTACAAGGCATTTGCCTTCTGTTTTTGGATCGAAGAAAAGCGGAGAAACTAGTTTTTCCAGCGGGGCGCTTTTACCCAGAATTGTTCTAAGAGGATAAGGCTCACAGAGAATGGAAAACCAGATGGGCAAGGAAAATTATGAAAATTCTATTATTTTCCTCGGGTTATTTGTTGGCCTAGCGGGGTGTTTTACGGGTCTTCCCCTCTTTGTTTCTCAACCAGCTTGAAGTCGGTGAGGTAATAATTAGGGAATTAATATGAATTCGAAGGGAAGAAGCTGAAAAAAGCTGATTGGAAGATTTCTCTTTGGCAATCCAGTTTCAGCTTGAGTTCCTCCACTCAGAAGCTTCCCTAGCAACAACCCCATTCTATGACTCACTAGAAATCCCGAAATCCGAGCACGTGGTACTGAGGAAATTCCATCGAACCGAAATGAAATTCCCTTCCCATTCAACAGGGCTACAAACAAAGGGAATTTGAATAACTTCGCCCTCCGCTGTTCCGATATGTAAAGGAATTAAAAAATGCTTTAAAGCGCCCGAATCACAGAGCTACAATTCTACACTGAACAAAAATAGGCCTGGGGGAATAAGTTCTTAATTTTATATACTTACAATCAAGCACATACATATATGTTTATGTACATTTTCAACGATATTTATTATATTTTCGATGAGCATCTGGTTTATGTATCCACTACCCCCAATCTAAATTCTGAAAAAATCTTAATTCAAGGATAGGTGTGTAAGTTTTTAATATAATTTTGTACAGTGCTAGACTCAAATCAACCCCTCGGATCCCAAGTGTGGACTAGGGGGGAGGATCAATCTCAGGATTGTAAGGGGCGCTGGAACACACGCACTCAGCATGGGATGCGTGTAAATTTCTAAGCCATTACAATGTCATGTCAGTAGGTCCTTGGAAGCACCCCGAATGGGAGGAAAAAGCCAAGGAAATGCACAAGGAAGTGCCACAGACAAGGGTTGAGCTTGCTTTGGGGGATGTTTTTGGACCAGCGAAGGTCTTTGGGGTGTTCGCCTTCACCTTCTGGTTTTCCTCCTATTTTTGGGGCCATGCGCCAAAAACACCCATCTGGGCAACTCATTCAGAGAATTGATCTTCGAGGGGGTAAAAAACAGACCGCAAAGTCAAAGTTGCGTGGCCAAATGCAAAAAAATGTCATTCTAATATACAAATGAACAGTAATACTTTTAAATGGGTACTTTCAGGTTCGCGTACATTACGTTCTGACAACTTTAAATCGGACAAATATTTTCCATAATCAAGGATTTTCAAAAAAAAAAACATTAAAAATCATGCCAAAAGTGTAACTATTTGACTTTCAAATATTTCTTTACATTTGTGCATACAATATTTAAAATTCGCCAAGTCTTAAATAACAAAGGCCTTTATTTCCAAAATTATGAAATGCTGATTTGGAAAGATTAGTTTTTTAGATCCTTTATTTAATTGTTTGAAGTTATTAATTACATTAACTAAAATTTACAGAAAAACTGAGCAAGTTCGATACAGTACCAATACACATTTGAATTTGTAGGATTTTATTAATTTAAATAAATATCACTTTATTGTTAAAAGGAAGTTGCTTATGAAAAATATTTATTTAAGCAGCATATATTATTAATTTAATATTTATTGGTAAATAGAATAACACTGGCCAAAAGCTTTTTGCCAAAGTGCGAAAATAATAATCTAAGCAATTGCAATTAATGCAAAGTGAAATATAATAAAAACAGACCACGAAATGGCACACAAGGAATCAAGGGTAACGAAAGAGAGGGGGATACAGAGGGAGTAAATAGCAGTGTCATGAATGAATACGATGTGCGGAAGTGTGCATGTGTGTCACCGAGAAAGAGACGGGGCTATTGCTGATTGCTGTATTTGCATCCCGCCAAGAGTGAGCGAGATGGAAGCTGCGATGAACGACAAGCGCGTGCATGCGCCAAATGCCTGATTGAAATGGTACATTTCTACACGTTTTTGCAGCTGGAAAGCTTTTCGCGCCAATTTTGCGCCAAGGAAATTGCAGTTAAGTAGCACCAGCAGCAACAACAAAATCACAACAATCAGCAGCAGCAACAAACAAACAGGTTTTTCATCGGCTGACCGACAATTGCGGTTGAAGGCGAAGGGCAAACCAGCTGAAAAACCACCAAAATCCACAGATAAATGCAAGCAACAACAAGTTTGTGTTTTTATTGTGGTTAAGAGCGTCTTATGCTAATTAGTGGAGGCGGGGCACACGCATACTAACACTTTTATTCCCCCTCCTCCCACTCACACATACCCAGTTTGTTACGCTTTGTTCGCTGTAACGAATACAGCAACAAAGCAAAGCAAAATCACCATTTACATACTAATACTCAACTGCTTACAAAGCAAAAAATTTAGAATGCTTTAGTCTCGAAGACAGCGTCACTTACCCGATTAGGTTTTATGGCCAACAGGAATCACACACTTTCAACTATCCAATTATAGTACGCTTTCCACTATTTAGGCAGTTTATTTAGTTGTTTTAAACGATTTTTGAGGAGCGACAAGCAGGTCGCAGGTGTAGATGAAGACTATTTACCATTCGCTTTTGTTCCGCTATTCTACACACAGGGTTGCATTGCGCGGGAAACCAGTGTTGCAGATGGCAGGCAGATTGTATGGTAGAATGGCGGGCAGTTCAAAAATTAGTCACCGATTAGACAATTTATTATAAGACAAATTATTATTAAAATATTTACAAACAGAAAATATTTAATAAAAAATTTAATTTCTAATAATACATAATCATAACAAATAAATTCCAATCATTGCAATCCATTTTCAAGTCCTAAAAAAAGCCATTAATTAAAAGGTTGATTTTCAATATTTAGACTTCCCCAAAAAATAACAATGTATAGGAGAGTTAAAAAAAGGTAAAGTTAGAAAAAACCAACTATTTCACCATGTCCAATAAAACCGTTAAGAATAAATGCTACGGTAAATGCTTTCTTGCAGTTGAAAGGCAGTTGTGAAATCTTTATTTCAGCAAGTGATGAAATAATGTCTTTGCACAGTTACATATCCTCCACGCTGTACTTGTAAGCCTCGTCCTGCACCGCTCGTCGTTCACTTTGCTTGTCGAACCACCGCTGTTCATAGCCATTGGATCGATCAACGCCATCCCAGCGATATCCGGGCCGGATTCCGAAGCGATTCTCTGGAAAGCTGCCCTCGTACTTGGGCATCACCGGCTTGTTGTCCAGCTGGTCACGTTTCTTGCGCTTTTGGCGCATGTAGTCCAGCATCGGATCGTCGGCGTGCTCCTGCTCCCTGAGATGCCTGTCCAGATCCTCGTCGTTGGCATAGCGAGCCACCGGCTTGGATGCTTCGTGGGCCATCTCCTCGAGGCGGGACTTCTGATCTTCTATTTGCTTTAGGCCCTTGCCCCAGCGATCGTACAGCTCCTTCTTTTTCTTGTCATGCTCCTCCTTGCGGCGCTGTTGGGCGGGATCCTCGTTGGCTGCATCCCGGGCCCTGCGCCCCTTTCTTCCAGTGCTCCGCATCTGTACCTCCCCATCCCGGCCAGAAATCTCACTTGACATGTTCTCAAATAGATCATGCTCCTGTCGCCGCCTTTCGTCTGTTTCTTTTTTCAAGGATTGTGCATCCTGAAGGCCTGCTTTTTTACCATCAAGAGTTTTGGTGGACTTGGGCTTGTGCGTTGGTGGCGGTGAAGCTGATTTGCTTGGCGATGCCTTGGCCCAGCGGCTTTTTCTCTCTTCTTTGAAGCGATTTCGGCGCGGAGGACTCTGCTCGCGATTCTTGGGTGGACTTTGATCGGAATCGCGTCGTCTACTTGGGGATTTATCGCGTTTTCGGGGAGGGCTTTGGTCCGAGTTGCGTCTTCGTCTTGGTGGAGACTGATTTTCATTTTTTTGTCTTCTTGGTGGACTCTGATCCGCATTTTGTTGCCTCCGTGCTGGCGATTGCCTATTCTCCCTTCGTCTTCTAGGTGGGCTTTGATCGGAGTCCCTTTTCTTTCGAACTGGAGATTGATCGTCGTCTTTTCGTTTCCTGGGCGGGCTCTGGTCGGAATCTCTTTTCCTTCTTGGTGGAGACTGACTGTCAGCTTTACGTCTTCTAGGTGGACTTTGATCGAAATCCCTTCTCCTTCGAGGCGGAGAAAAATCCTTGTTCTTACTTCTTCTCGGTGGACTCTGGTCGGAGTTACTTCTACGACGTCGGGGTGGACTTTGATCGGAATCCCTTCTCCTTCTCGTTGGTGATGGCTTATCATATCGTTTTCTGGGAGGACTCTGATCTGAATCTCTTCTTTTTCGTGCCGGCGATTGATCCTTGTCCTTTTGCCTTCTTGGTGGGGATTGGTCGCCATTTCTTGCCCTTCTTGGTGGACTTTGATCCGAGTTTCTACGTTTCCTGCGCGGTGGGGATTGATCTGGATCTCTCCCTCTTCTGGGAGGACTCTGATCATAGCTGTCCGCCCTTTTACGACTTGGAGATTTATCCCTTGCCCTTCTGTGGGGACTCTGTTCCCGTTTTGCTTGCCTTTTTGACCTCGTTGGACTTAAATCCCTGGAGTTGCTGCGCTTCTCCTGCTTGATTCTAACAGGAGGACTTCTCCTGGAAGGAGAGAACTCATCCTTGACTTTGACGACTGAAGCCTTGCGGCCCCACATCTCCTGTTCCTCATCCACGGGCTCCTGTTTGATGCGAATGGCAGGCGCTGGCGGGGATCCCTCGTGCTCCTCCTTGATTTCGTCCTTGACGGCGATGTTGCGCCACTTGCTGCGCACATTGGGATCGTCCTCGATGTACTCGGCCACAATTTGGGGCGCATCCTCGCCGCCCAGCAGCAGATCCTCGTCCATTTCGCGGTCATCATTTTCGTAGGCATCGTCATCGATGATTTTCACCTTGGCGGCTTTTTTGTGTTTCTTCTCCTTCTTTTTCTTCTTCTTCTCCTTGTCGCCGGAAAGGTACTTTTTGAGGTACTCCTTCTGGTCGATGATTTTGCCCTTTTGCATGGACATTTCCGGGTAATTAAAGCGGCAAATAGCAAATTACAAAATTGTTGTTTACGTTTAGAAGTTGTCAAGCGAATCAATGTGACCATTTGTCGATTTACTTAAAAAGGCACATGGCTGAGTGCTGTTAAATCGCGCCTAACAGCACAATGTTAATTACCTTAAGCGGGGTGGCAGCCCTAGAAAGCTAAAATATTTGTATTGTTTTTTGCTTTTAATGTAAAACAATTATTAGTAATGTGTGGTTTACATCTTAAAAGGTGCATATTAATAAAACTGTTTGATATCAAAACCTTTAATCTGATAACGCTTGTGCTATTTTTAAATGCTCATACTTTTAAACATTTTATCCTACGCGCGTTAGTGATGGACGATTATCTAAAGTCTACCCGAATTAACTGAATAAAGAAAATCCTGAAAATATACAAAATTTATAAACTTTTTTCTTCTATTTATTTATAAAAAAGCTATTAAGTTCTTCATAAATAAGCGTTAATGAAAAAGTTTTGGTTACGATTAATTTCCGGCTTCCCGCCACTCACTTGTCGCCCATCTCTAAGCTACGAGGGCCAACATTTTTTCTGAAGTTTCCTTGCAGTGCGGCACGCTTTCTACCGCAATTTGTGCCAAAAGTAAGCCAAAACTTGGCGTAAAAATCGCAATAATCGAACGGCAGCGGAGGTATTCGAATTGGACGAGTGATAAGGAAAACTGCAAGTGATCATCGTGTTGCATGGGAGTTGCCATTTTGGCCGCCGGCCCTCGCTGGCGGCGGTATCAGCGGGGGATTAACTTCCATGAGGATTCCTAAATATGTAAGTACTAAGTACGGAAGTAAGCGGCTTAAAACGGGGATTAAATCGAACCACGCCACGCCAATTATTTGGCTTACTTCCTGAAAAATCTCAAGTAGCGACGACTCTTCAGGAGACAAAGTGAAGGGTCCTTACTGTCGAGAGTTCCAGAGCCTTTTTGCGGAATGATGCGGTGCGAGGGTGACAGGGACGGGACTAAGTGACGGTGCTAAAGTGACGTATGAAATGAAGCACAAAAACAAAGGGTACACAACAAAAGCAGCAACAACAATGACAGGAGAGCAGAGCTAGGGGCTGGGCGCCCACATATATTCACATTTTGAGTGCAAGAACGCGGGATGGCATGCAAATTAATTCGCTTAACCGAGCTTTTAAAGCGCCCCTTATTATATTCCGTTGTTTTTGTTTCGTTCTCTCCATTACCCTTTCTGCATTGTTGGCATTTCTTTTGCATTTTTTGTTCGCATTCATGAAATTTAAAGCCCACGGCGTGCTTTATCTCGCTCTCGCACCTTTGTCTGTCTCCCTCTGTTTCCTCCATTTCTGTTTTGGTGCCGTCCCGCAAACAGCTGATGTTCCCGGAACGTGCTCTCACTCTCTCTCTCTCTCTGTCTGTATAGTTTTAAATTCCTTTCTAAATTCTTTTCAAGGGTTCGAGTCTGCGCTTAAGGTGTATACCGCCCACATTCCGCTTTCTATGATTTTTCAAAAGTTAACGGACTCCCATTCCATCCCACATTGTTTTGGCTGCAATAAAAATTGTTGTTTAAGGGGTGATACAGAAACCACTAGGGTCTGAAATCCTTTCTAAATATGTGTCTAAAAGTATGCAGTGAAAAAGAATTTATCGGTCTTTTGGATTCAATATATCTTTATCATTTTATTCGCCAACAATCAAGTTTTGTAGCTGGCTACTTAACTCTATTTAAAAGTAATCATTAATAAAATTAATAATCAGCATATGTTTGGTTGCATACTTTTAGACACCTTTATAAGTGATTTCAAAACACTGGAGATTTCATTATGACATTATGACAGTACATTGCTGACAGACATATGACCACTCCATTAGAAAATAAATGAAAAAGTTCCATCAAAACCGTCTATGAATGAAACGTCATTTTATTGTAATATCCCTACAGCAGAATAAAAATTTGGTTCATTAATAAAATGTTTTGAAACAAAAAGTTCGCTTTAATTGGGTTCCTGTTAATTTCGAAAATTACTTTTTAAAGCTTTTAATACTTTTTGAATTTTAACACTTTCAAAAACTATAAATATTTATCATTTTTTAAATCAGTCACTTGAACCAACTGACTCGTAAACATATCGTTTTGTTATTTATTTAAATTGGACTCTAGTCTATCACGCATGTTTCAATGTCCCAATACTGTTGCATGTTCAACAAAATGCAGTTTTTCAAGTTTCAGGACCTTGAAAAATTTGTGTCATCGAACAAAAAAGTTATATCGGAACTGACATGCGCACAATACCGGCAACAATGACACATCAGTGTCGATAATTAAATCAGGCTAGGAAAGCCGCCGGGCAATGATTTTATATTAAGGTAAAAGGCTCTGCTAATGGCGTAAAATAAATATCAATTAGTCCTTCACTTGTTTTCCTTTGTAATTCAGCCACGGTTATATGCACAAAGGGACAGTAACTTTTCAAAAATCGGATAAATGGCTCTTTGTTAAAATAAACTGGGCAATTTGTTGCGTAAATGAACACCGGAAACCATGTCGGTTTAATAGCATTTTTTCAAACAGAAACCAGCCATTAAGATAAAATTCCATGGCGATTGTGTCAAGTAAATAGACGTAAATCAATTAGTTCACTATTTGTTTTCATTTGCAAAGAAAATTCGGTCAGAAAAGGAAAATTACTTTTTAAAAGCTTGAACAACTTTTTATACAGGATAACTTACAAAAATCATTATTTTTAAAGGTACCAAACATAAACTTTGAGTTTTATTTCAATTGTGGGTGGGAAAATAAAACATTACTTTTTTCAAGCGGCAAACTTTGCAAAGCTCTTAAAGCAATAATTTCAAAGTTATGAATTATTTTAAGTAATTAAGGTAAGGCTTTGCAGTTTACTGCTCCATTTCAATTCGGCAACCCCCAAAAAGTTTAAAAGCCTTTAAGGAAACTTAATAAATACGTCTTTTAGGCTTCGTATGCCATCTGCTGGCCCAATAGCATTGGGCCAACAAATATTCAGAAGTAAATCGTTGAGTACGGATGTGTAAGTTCTCATCCCCACCATTTATATCGCATAATTTTAAGTTTAACTTGGTCCTCTCTTTAAAAGCCTGAAAGTTGTTTGTTTCTTTGGTGCGCGCTTTCAAGAATTCAATTAAAAGAACAACACTTAGGAGAATATTAAATTATAATGTGGACAAAGCAGAACTTTCCCCCATGTAGCAGCTAAGTGTAGGCTAGGGAATTGTTTCTAGCGATAATATTTAATCTAGCAGAATCAATTCTTGGCAGCTGCTCTGCAGCTAGCGAGAATAATTGTCATTAGAACTTCCATTATGGAAAAATTGTTTCCAAAAATGTGCGCTGCAAATTCAATGTGTCATTCTGGCTGCTTTTTAAACATACAAGAATGACTCTTTACAAATGCGGAGGAGCCTATTTGTTCGTTTTGAAAAGTTACTGGCAATTTTCGTGTCATTCCTTATTAATAGTTCTTTTTTTTGGCCAGACAAGACTAGAATATATTCGCTATTAAACTATATTCATTTACATTTATTTTTTTTCGATGTTTCAGTTTTAGTACCAAGGGATTTTTAAAATTATGTTTTTTTTAGACGACCATTTGGTGTAGTAAAAATGTTTTTTTAACTCATACTAAACAAAAAATGTTACCTATTTTAAAAAGATTAATACAGTTCCATCTTTAACTACTGCACTTATTTATAAAATCTGTTAATAAATAAATAAATATTACATATTATAAATAAACCCACCTCGGTTTGAGTCCGCGCTAAAATATAAGTACATTTAGTACATTTCTCACACATGGTTAACAAAAACGACAGACAGAGAGAAAGAGAGAGAGAGAGAGGCAGCTCTTAACAGCAAAATGTTATGGTCATGTTAATTCCAGCCGTTGCCTTTTCGAAACTCAACAAAAGTGGTTTGCTCCCCCAGAGCGGTTTCAGTTCGATTCAAATTTCAAACGCGACGGTTCACATCGCGATCAAAAACTCTTAAAATTATGAGTTGGCGCTGCGCGAAGAATTCGAAATATTCAATCGTAGAATTTCGCAAAGGTTTTTAAATCAAAGCGCGTCGTCTTTTGTTGTTCGTGCAATAACTGCAATCAAAGTTAATTGGAAAAGTAACGGAAATCTGGCCGTTGTACTTAAATCCGGTGCCTGTGTGCGTTTTTCTGCATTTAATTAATCAATTTAAATTCCTGCGCACATGTGTGTGCGTGCGTGTGTGTGTCCGTCTGATTGTGCAAGTGTGCGAGAGCAAATGCCGCCGCCAAAAATAATTTGATCATTTCGAGAAAATCTCTCAAATCGGCTGTAACAACAACAAAAACCAACGAAAATCGTTTTTCTAGCAGTTTATCCGAAAGGCTAGAAATTTCGACATAGAATTTATTTTTGCTCCACAAGGGCAGGTGTACGGGGCACTGGTAGAATTTTTACCGAAAATGATAAACGGAAGTGGGGGAAAAAGCTGTATATAGCATTTCCACCACAATAAAGTGTAGACTTTGGTCCGAAAACTGAAATACGGAAATAGAAACGCGGTACCGAAATCGAAGATCCCCCTGCTGAGTTGTAGTTCTTTTAAATAAAACTAAAAAACTATAAATGGAAATGCTGTAATTCGTGTAGAAGTTTATAGAATATTTAAAACTGAAAGCAAAAAGATATATTTTTTGTTTCGACATTTCAAAAAAATTGAAATTCTCTACATTTTTTTTAATGAAAACTAAAAAATCAAATCTCGCGTTGTAGAAACAGAAAAATCAAATTGCTGTGTGTAATGTAGAGCTTTAAAACTAAAAAGCAGATAAATCAAGTGATTTTAAAAAAACTTGCCTTACTGTAAACTTAAAACAAATCTTGAATTTTGAATCAAATACAAATCTCAATGTTTTTTTAAAACTAAAAAGTAGAAAAGCCAATGGTCTACTAATTCTAAAACGACTTTGTCAACTCAAAAATCAAATCAAATCTCGAGGTGTTTAGTGTAGAGTTTGGAAAAAGAAAAACCGAATGGCAGGCTGGGTTTAGTGTAGAATTTGGAAACTGAAAAGCAGAAAAACCAAGTCCGAGCGAACGGCTTGTTTGTTTTTCCCCTGCTAATGAGCTTGGTGGCAAGTTATATATTCTGATTCGTTTTCTTGTTGGCCTACTAAAACAAACTGGCTCACACGAACACTCGAACTCACACACACTCACGCACCATGTCTCAGGCGGCGAAAGGTTTCTCAACCGATCTGTTTCTCATGTCTCTTTCTGGCCCATTCTGGTTTTTTAGGTCTCCACCGTCGACTCGTGGTCAAAACGAAAGCACCGTCATCGTGAGAAAGAGAGAGAGAGTAAAAAATCGTACAAACAAAGACAATTTCGTGGGTGTTTCGTGTGAAAAACTGGCGCCAAAATCCACTATAAAAGGGTTAATAAAAATTTATAAATAACCGGCAAAAATCGGAAAAACTAAAACAGAATGAGTGCCAACCGAAGGAGACGAAGCAGTTTTTACTGCGCGCCATCACAGGAGAAAGAAAAACTCGGTGCAACAGCTGCAATTTCAATTCCGCCATCCAAAGAGCAACTTTCTCTGCCGGCTGATGAGGATTTACTGGAAATGCCTCGTATTTGCCGCTGCTGCTGCAAACGGGATTTGGAATTACTCGGCTTATTTGAGGCCAGCCAACCGACTTTGGCCAACACATCAGAAGCAGGAGCAGGAGCGTCCGCACTATCAGCATCAAACAAATCATCAGTAACAACGGCTAAAACATGTGCGACAGAAACTCCAGAGACACTGTCTGCAAATCCAGTAAATCCCGGGGATATGGCTACATCATCTTCAGCAGCAACATCGTCCGCATTTCTGACCACACCCTCTCCCATGAGGCGTCGCACCACTGTTGCCACCACATCCACATCCACATCCACACCCACAGCTACAGCCACAGCTCCTCGTGGGCGAAGCAGCGATAATGCCGTCGACTACACCCTCAGCGGGGCCCACAGCAGCATGGACATTGTCCTCGAGGAGATGACCATTTGGATGCTCAATGTAAGTAGCACACTCTCGCACTTCTGCCCTCTGTAAACTACATATCACCCACCCACCCAATCAAGTTCTCTTCAGAGCATATCGGAAAGTTTCTATGGGTTGTGTTTAATTTTTAATGTGATTTATTCAGCTACACGCATGTAGACACTTGGAAAAAAAGAATTCAAGTACAGTGCAGACTCAACATAAACTAATAAACTAATGAAGAGCAAGGGGGTTTCAGTGGAACCACTAAGTACAACTCAATCAAGTGCTCACCCTTTCGAGCCAGCACTGTATGGCATATCACTAGCTCTATAAATAGGAAATGAATATTTCCTACTATTAATAGGAAATGTCACAGAAATCTCTGAAAACTTTGACATCGGTCGGTTGGGCAATGTGTCCAAAAGTCTCCGTATATTTCCGCCCTCAGCGGTCTGATTTTATTATTTGATAGTGTTCGATTGTGTGAAAAAATGCATACACCCAACGACACCCCAAAAATTTCAAAATCAACTTGAATATTAATTGTCGGCCATTTAGCAGATTTTATTCATTCTTTTTAAACAAAACATGGTTTATTGTCTTCATTGACGAGAAATATTAGAAATATTCAACAGGGGATATTTATTTTTAATTTTAAACCTAACACTACGAAAAAGGTACGCGCAAAAGTCGCGTACAGCAGTTTTCAACTTCGAGGAATGCAGGATGTGCGATTTCCGTTAATTTTGTTGTCGCCGATCTACTTTAGAATGCCTAAAAATAGACATTACGCAGTTAAAAGAAACTTTTCATTATAATAACGAGCATATTGCAACATGGAACAAAAGGCAAGGAAATTTCGTTGAGGAGTGGAAAATTATATTAAAAGGTTTTTGGATGGAAAATCTTATAGAGAAATTGGTGCTTTAGTTGGTAGAACCCACTCATCCATCCAAAAAGTGATAGATAACTACAACTCGGCTGGAAGTATCTTGCCAAAGGCCGTTCGGCCGTCCGCCTTGCTTATAATCCGCGAGCAGAGGAATATTATCAAATATATTCAGCTCAACCCAAGGACGACAGCTCACCAGGCAAAGCTGAAGGTCGAGGATAGATTTCCAAAAGAGTTTCCGAAGATACTGTACGCCGGACCAAAAAAGGCTGACACCATAGCAGAGTCGCCCGCAAAAACCTCTCATATCGGAAGCAATAGACATAAGCGCCTAACCTTTACTAATGAGTATATTTCCAAACACCAAGACTTCTGAATAAGATTATATTTCCCGACGAAACTAAATTCGCATATTTGGAATCAAGGGAAAGGTTTGGTATGGAGGAAAAGGGAGAAGCCTCAAATTAAGAAAATTTGGTTGGCACAGTAAAGCAAGGAGGAAGCGGAATAATGGTGTGGGGGGTATGGCAGCAAGTGGCGTTGGAAAATTGGTATTTATCGAGTTAATAATGGATCAGAAAACTATATTGACATATTAAAAAACAATTTAAAAGAAAGTGCGAAAAATTAGGGCTCGAAAGGAATGTTGGTTCCAACAAGACAACGACCCGAAGCATACGGCGCAGAATACCAAGCTTGTCGCTGTATAACGTCATAAATCAGCTGCGAACACCTCCCCAAAGTCCTGATCTAAGCCAAATGAGCATTTTGGGATCTTCTGAGAGGAAAACCGAAGACACACGATAACATCTAAAAAATGCTCAAGAATGGATTCTCGAGGAGTAGGGAAAATTACTGCAAATGAGACAAAAAAAGTGGATTCCATCCCGAGACGCCTTACGGAAGTTTTGCAGAAAAAGAATACCCTACCAGTTACTAAAAATAATATTATTTGTGTTTTAAACAGGTGTACGCAGACTTTCGGGTACATTTTTGGTAGTGTTAAGTTTAAAATTAAAAATAAAATATAAGACACTGTTGAATAATTAAAAAAAAAATACGTCAATGAAGACAATAAATTATAATTATGTTTAAAAAAAAGAATGGGTTGAATATATGCATAAATGGCCGAACAGCTAGGGTTTAAAGTTAGATTTTGAAAATTTTTTGGGGTGTACGCAGAGATATGCGAGTGAGTGTATTTGATTTTAGTTTTGAATACGTTAATATTTTTTAATTTTTTTGCATGCCATGCATCATGTATTTAGACAAGGCAAAACCAGAAGAATTTTTTTAACCGATCAACTTAATTTGTGGTCTCAATTCATAAATTAACACTGTATGGAAAACATGCAAACTGTGAGAAAACACGTTCCTTTTAATTTGGTTTCATAACTTTTAGTTATACTTGGTTCGTAAACATCGGAAACATCAAGTAATTATCTGGAAAAATTGTTTTTCATTAGGCAAATAAAGTGTTTTGAGTTGAGCTAACTTGTGGAAATAATAACTGTAATCAAATTTAAAAGGTTAATTAATATGTATATCTTAATCACCACATGGTAACTTTAAATGACAATTTGTTGAACAAAACACGTTACACTATTTACTATTAATTAAATTAATTAGATTCCCTGGTGTACTGGGCTACAAACCTGCTTTTTTTGCGTGTAAATTCCCCAGACGTTCTCGAGTCCCTCATCTGACTCACTATCCCTAGAATGGGAAGAACTTACTTGTATTCTGACGTGCCATTGTTCCCTGCTCTGTCTCCTGGCCCCTCATATGTAATTTTCCCTAATGCAGGCAAATAAATTAAATTGTCAGACCATTTGCAAGAACCGAAAGTAAATAAATAAGGCTTTATTTATAATGCCGCAGAAAGGTTTCATCCATTTCACATGCGATTTGCTACTACAAGGCGATATGGTAATATTAATTTTGGAGCAGAGACAGTGCTAGATATGTGTACTTATATTGGGGCTCTTAGATAATCCTTTATCTTATCGGCAACACGTTTCGGTATTTCGTTTTATTTATTCTAATGCCACTTCATTGCTGGATTTTATGACGCTGCATTAAGATAGCGGCGTTCCATTTTTTTTATTTCGGCTTCTCATCTGGCATGGATTTTTTTTTGTGATAATCTAAATGGATCGCGGCACTTGTACTGACCTTTTCGTTTAACGATTGTGTGTCAAATTTTTTATTACTGAATACCCAAAGGAAATGAGATTCATAATCGGTGCTTACCAAAAAATGTCATCATGACATATATGAAAAGAAAGTATGGAGTTCTGCGTTGCATTCCGCATGTCACGTATAAACATTTCGCTTCTTTTTCATTTATTAGCTTCTCGATTTCCTGAAGGCGAAGCATTCTCATTTTTCGTTTTTTATTTGTTACCTTCTTATCGTGGGTAAATTAAGGTTTTTGTTTTCTTTTTTTATCACGCATAAATCAGTGTAATTGTTTTCTTTTCTTATCAGACTAGCCCTAATCAAAAGCCAAACAATTTGTTTTGTTCTCTGATGCAGGTTGCAAACCACACTTAATAGTTTCACAGATCTTATAAGGGTACCTGAATGATTATATTCTATGTATAACAAATCCGAGATCTTATACGTCAAGAGTATATCAAGTGTGTGCCAAGGAATTTCCATTATTCCAGCAAATATTTGTTGCTACCTATTTCGTAACTATTCCTAATTTTATGCCACATTGCGTGCCACTGCCAAGCTGTGAGGCAAGTTTGCATGTGTGCTTGGCTCTTGGGCCCCATAAACATTCAACGAATCCGGGTGGAGTCAGCCCTTTGTTTCGGGCCACCAAGAGAGCGGGTTCTCCGCCGTACTGGCTAGAATCTTGGCTTTATGCCGGGGCTATAATTGCAAAGAGAGGCCAACGTCAACGTTACTTTCCGGCCAATTATACGGCACCGGCTATTTCTCTTTTGGCCCATTGAGGAACGGCCGTCAGCGCACCCAAGTCATCAGCACGAGCAGCACCTCTGACTTCCACCATGGGCTCTTAGTGGTCCCCTACTCATTACCAATAAAAGTCGCATGGGAAACAGGTTTTTTATTTTATTTTTTTATTATTTTGAGAGCCCGGTCCACGCCTTGGGGTTCAAGACGAGTGTTGGTGGTGGTGTTATGCGTTGAACGGCTTTAGTTGCCGCCGGTGGTGACCGTTGATTCTCAAGGTGTTGCATGAAAAACGCTTTGACCTTAGGAGTCTCCGTATTGATCTGAAACTGAAACTGGATATCGGATTCGAACTCAAACTCGCCGCTTTGTTGTTCATTATACAATTTAGCTGCCAATTATATGCATTAAACTCAGGCGATTTTGTGTTATTGTTCTCGAAAACGAAATGATAAATGAGTTTGGCTGCACAGTCTTCGGATAGATTTTAAGTTTAGTATTAGAATTTCAAATGCGTATTCGAGGGCGTTGTCCTGAAGCAGACATGTGAGTTTTTGTTTCTGGAAGTGCGAGAATGCCCGGTAATTAGGTTACACAACAAAACAGCTAAACAAAACAAAACAACAAGAGAGGTGTGTAAAATACTTAACGTTGGAACGTCGCAGAAGCGGATTTATGATCTTGCAGTTAAATTGCTATCTTGATTCGCTTTTAATTGAGCAGCGCAGCCTCACAAAAGAAGTTCTCGAGTGATGGCCGACTTGTATGATAATTTTCGAGACCGCTTCCGGGATAGCAATGTCTGTAAATTGAAACGCTAAATAAAACTTTCGTTTTTTTGCATGGATAACTTTCTTTTGCAACACACACACGCCTCGCCAAAGTTCACTCTCGTTCGTTAGCCACAGTATTCATTGTATTTATTTTTGCGCAAAGCCTTAATCATCAATGGAGTCAAGCCCCAAGCTAACGATTAAGCCACCAGTCGGATTAATTGCCGGACAAATCTCTCATTAGGCCGCTAGGCAATTACGGCCGGGTTTACGACAACCTTATTATAGCACATGGTGTGGAACTGCTTTATATATGTACATACATTACAATAAAAGTGCAATCAATCAAAAAGAGTGTAGATAGAATAGACACCGGCAATTAGATAGAGATATCTAAACAGTTTGATGATCATATAAGTCAGGCATGCTTTTATCAATAT